AGCCTCCCAGAGTCCCGAGAAAAGGGCCTTTCGGCTCGGGAACGCTGCTCCAGCAAAGCCCGGTTTTCGAGAAAACCCGCTGTAAGTGAGCTATGCCTACCCTATCTTTAGTATAACTTATGTTTCAATATAGTAATGTTATTAGGACCTTATAAGGAGTATTTGGGCTATTAGTATGGGTTATATAAGTATTGTTTAACGCTTATATAATAGTAATAATAGCTAGACTATTAATTAGTCTCGTCAAATGTTAGACTAAACTCTAGTGGTAATGATACTAGGTTTCGTCAAGGGATACTTGTTTCAAGAGTAACGAAGTGTTGTCCGAGTGCCGACTCACCACCTAACCAGGTGAGTGCATGGTGCCTTTCATCTTACACATAGATATGAAATATTTTATATAAACTACGTGCTATGTGTTCATATTATCTGTATACTTGTTATATATGATGGATGAACGATTTTATACAAGTTTTAAATGATTTAAACTGTATACGTATTTTATATCTACAAATATGTTGGGTATAACATGGGTAGATGAATTATGAGAGATAAAAGATGATATGAATGATCATTGGCAGCTATGGACTTAGTGCCTATTGAATAAATGCTGGTAGCTATGGACTTAGTACCTGATAGATAAACGTTGGTAGCTATGGACTTAGTACCTAGACACTGGTAGCTATGGATTTAGTACCCGATGAATGAACTTTAGTAGCTATGGAATTAGTGCTTTACGAATGAACATTGACAGCTATGGACTTAGTGCCAGTCCTATAACCCTGGAAGCGAAGGACTTCAGAATGAACGAATGCAGGATAGATGACTCTTAGGGTAGACTCTTAAGAGTAAGGAAGATAATGGGGATGGGTAATTGGGTTGATTGTTTGATTGTGTAAACATAATAATTATGTTATTGTGGGTTGAAAACCCTATGTACTCACCAGGTTTCCCAACCTGACCCACTCAGTTTATTTATATCACAGGTGTTGATATGAAGTCACATTACACTGAGAGATTAAGGAGATATAGATCACTAGTGATAATGAATGTAAGTTCTGTTTATGCTTATGTTTCTGTATTGACGATGACATCCTAAATGTTTTAAAATGAATAAAAATACTTTTCCTCGGAAATTCTTTGATAACGTATTTATCATGTTTTACTGGGAACAAATTTCGCAACATTTTTATTAAAAGAAATACTTTGATTTTTATAAAGCATAAACAAAATTGGTATTTTCTGGTCGTGAAAATGAGGATGTCACAACAGCCACTGCCCCCTATCGACTACCACCGGGAAATCACCACTTCTCTCTCCACCCTCTTTCTTACAGATGACCAACACAATCACCAGATCTGTTAAAACCACCAGCTCCACCACCGATATCCCTTTTTACATCCGGAAATCATATTTATCTGAATCTATCGACCTGTTTAGTTGTTTGTATACTGACGAATATTGGTTCATGCGGAGAAGAAGAATCCATCTCATATATCCTCTTTCTCAGCTCCAACAAGCACCACACCAGCTCCACCACCGACATCCCCTTTCACTTCTGACAACCACCACCTGTAGTGTAGATCTACGAACGAGAGGTGATGGTGACACATCGGTAAGTGGAAATGACAACTCCATCTCTGGCAACCCACACAACCTCAAAGTCATAGCTGATAACTAGATCTCAAAACCCTAATCCCGATAAATTGATCTTCGTCTCTCTTGCCATTTTGCCCTGTATCGCATCAACATACACATAGGCGTGTGTGTTTTGTGTTTCTTTGTTTTGGCTGGTGTTTGTACATAAAGGTGGCGGTAGTGAATGAGGTGGTGGTTTGTGGTTATTTTTTGAGAAACAGATGGTTCCAGGGGCAGATTTAGGGAGGGGGGGGGGGGTCACCGGTGCTAACTTTTTCGGCCGCAGCGAAAATATTTTGAAATATATATATATATATATATATATATATATATATATATATATATATATATATATATTTACTATCGTGCAACTCCTAACTTTCCCGTGCACCCCTACTGTGAAATCTTGTGTCCGCCACTGGGTGGTTCTGATGCGTGTATGGGCTTGATTTGATGAGTAAGGTAGTGTTTAGGTAAATTAAGAGAGAATAACAACCACAAATGATATGTGAATGGAAAGAAATGTAACCATTGTTAATCATATGGCCATTGTTAATCCTTTAAATTATTTCAAGAATAATTTACTAGGTCCTAATCTTGTTCATGGGAGTGTACGAAAGTGGTTTTTGATCCACAAATGGAAGACACGGTTAGGATTTCATTTGGCGAGTTCTTTTAGCTATTTGAAGAACATGTGTATGTGGAGAAGAGACCAACTTGGGGTAAAGAAAATGTCACATTCTGCAATAAAAATATGTTTTCAAGACCTATTGTCATGGAAGGTTTGTATGGGAGAACAACAAAATTTGGTTCTTACTGAATTAAGGACAATTCCTTTCGAAGAAGGAGGGAATGATACATGTGTGGAAGTGACAAATTTTGAAAATGATAATGGTTACAATGTGGATTTGGGAGGAGACCATGGAATGCATGCTACCTTTAATGTGGGAGATCTTTCACCTTATCTTGATGATGATGGACTTGATGAATTGAGGTCAATTCCTTTCAAAGGGGAAGGGATGATCCATGCATGGATTATGAAAGCCCAAAAGGTGATGGATTAGTGATTACTAGTGGGCTAGAAGGTGGCTTGGGCTCAATGGTTGGTTGTGCATGGTAGCCCACAAATTGAATTAGGGTTGCATGAAGGCTAGGGCAACATTTTTAAGGCTTCATAAGTGTTAAAAACGTTACTTTTTACTTCATAAAGCCTCCTAGCCGTTTTTATCACTCTTTGGTGGATTAGGGTTACACTTTAATGCTTCTGATGGCTCATTAATGCTTCTTATGGCTCCTTAATGAAGCATAAACGTTTTTTCTTCATCCTCAAGTGTCTTGGACGTTTTTTTTGTGTTATTTCAAGAGTTTCCTTAATTTTCATTTACTAGTTTTAATGAATAATTGGTTGGTTGGATTGTAACCACCAATTTTAATAAAGGCTTCATTAAAAGCCAAGTTTATGCATGGGAAAAGATATAGACGAATTTTTTTAAGAAAAAAACCTTTGTTCAATTAGAATTATTGTTATAATTCACAAATTATCTTGTTAGGACGTGTTCTTGACTTGATACGAACTCAATCCAATAGGTCTTGGATTGTTTTCACTGGTATACAACTTAATAGGTCTTGAGTTGTTACTAATCTATCCATTTCTTTCCATTCACATATCATTTGTGGTTGTTATTCTCTCTTAATTTACCTAAACACTACCTTACTCATCAAATCAAGCCCATACACGCATCAGGTTCATTGGCGGCTTAAAGACCATTAAGAAGAAGAACGAGGGAAGAAGGGGTCATCAACGATGTTTTTGAGAAAAAGAGGTGGTGGTCAACGATGGTAGGCGGTGGTGATAATTTTGCTTTAGGTTTCTCTGCCAAAGATTTTAGAGGGAAAGAGGGTTTAAAATGGAAGGGGTTAGAATAAAATGTGTGAGATGAGGTTTTTTTCATTTTATTTTGTATATTATAAATAATTGTAAGAAAAATAAAAAAATAATAGAAAAAACAATGGAGAATTTCATATATATCCTTGTTAAACGTCTAAATATTATATTTGCTCAAGTTAAACTTTAAATATCATATTTGCCCTTCTTAATCTATTTAAATATCGGATTTGCCCAAACCTATTTTTTTATTAGTTTTTAATATTTAATAATCCTTTTTTATATTTTACAATCTTTAAAGTTGAAAAAATGGACGGTTTTGCCCTTTACTCCTAAAATGCAGGAAATCTTCACAGTCTATGTTTTGCCCTTCTTCCCCACGATCTTCGTTGTTCAGTCTCGTCGTCTTCCCTTTTTGTCTCTTACCACATTCCTTATTTGCCTCCATAATTACAGTCATATCAGTTTCCCCATGGAGTAGTACTTTTCTTATGTTTGATTCTGTTACCAAAAAGAAGGGCAAATAAGGAATAACATAATGACCAAAATAAGAAATGCGGGGAGAGGCAAAAGAGAAGACAACAAGTCTGAACATGCAAAAGGGAAAACAACGAGTCTGAACAGTAACGTTCCTGGGAGAATAAGAAAAAAACATAAAACTGTGAAGATTTCCTACGTTTTAGGAGTTAAGGGCACAATCATCCATTTTGTTTTTATTTTCAATTTTGATGATTTTAAAATACAAAAAGTTATTATTAATTATTAAAAACTATTAAAAAAATAGATTTTAGCAAATCTGATATTTTAAAAGGTTAACAAGGACAAATATAATATTTACAATTTAGTTAAGATAAATACGATATTTAAATATTTAGTAATAAAAAAAAAAAAAAAAAAAAAAAGGTCATTTTATTTTATGTCTACCCTGTAATAAATTATGCAAACAAACTTAAGCAAACAAAATAATAATAATAATAACGTATGCAAAAGAGTAACAACTCGAATATCTTCCCCTCACTGTATGAAAAGTGAAAACCTCCTCCGTTACTCCGCCACATTCAAACCCTATACAACCTGTGCAGTGTGCACAGATTCTATCCAGTACATACAACCCTCGCTCTCCAAACAACTTCATGACATCGATTGTTGA